GGTTGAGGATGAAGGCCAGAAATGGGCATTTCTAGAGGGCACTGCTGGTGTGTGGCCCATTTAGGTGGGCACTGTGTGGATGGAAGAAGGGAAAACCTGTTAAGAACTCATTTAAAGAGGTGAAAACTAAAGCCCAGGGGAAGTGACCGTGTTAGTGGTAGAGCTAGAACTGATTGATTATAAAGCTGAAGCCGTTCTCCGCTCTGCTGAGCCTAGGAATGAAAAACAGGAAACTCAGGCAGCTCCAGCCTCTGACAGCTCCTCCCTCCACCCTGACTCCCTCACCTGGTGTCAAGGATGACTGACAGATTCCTCAGTGTTGGGCCTGGCTTTGCCAGTGCCTGTCCCATGTCACCTTGAGAGGTTTCTCCCCTCTGACCCTGTTTCCCTGAAGATACTTGCTGTGTGCTTTTAGCTTACRTTTGTTAATATCATCATGGTTCCCATGTAGAGATGAGGTTGAGACTCCATAAGTCAGTTGATCGAGGTCACAGCTGAAAGATGGCAAAGCCAGGTGTGAAACAGGGCTTACTTGATCCCAGAGCTGCTTATCCCCCGCCATGCTGCTTTTCTGGGAACTGCTAGTGAGGTCTGCCCCGGGCATTAGCAGGTACAGGTTGCCATGATCCTTCAGCTGYCAGCTCTCCAGTAGGTGTTCTTCTTAACTGTTCCCGTTGGGCTCAGCTCCTGGCCTGTTGCCTGAATGCTGCCTGCATGGCATTGGTGGATGCAGGTGTGCCCATGCGAGCCCTGTTCTGCGGGGTCACCTGTGCCCTGGACTCTGATGGGACCCTGGTGCTGGACCCCACAGCCAAGCAAGAAAAGGTAGGTATGAAGGGCTGTGGCCAGGTGGCTCTCGGCCTTCCTCCAGGACTCACTGTCTCCAAGTCAGTTGGCACACGTACCTCAGCCCCAGTTGGCAGGCCCTGCTCTGTTCGTCAAGATTCATTCAGCTGCAAGTCTAGAACCCAACTCAGTCATGCACAAGCCAAACAAGAATGTGTTGGCTTTTGTTTCCAAACCCTGAAAGAACAGAGGTCTAGTTAAAACCAGAACTTCAAACACTGTCAGATTTCCTTACTTCATTTCTCATCCCTGCTTTTTTCTGTATATTGACTTCATTCTCTCTGGCCAGCATCTTTCCTGAGGCCGAGGTCAACTCCATCCTTTCATATTAAGAGGATGGAGGACAGGTTAGGGATGTATGTACCTCAGTGATAAAGCGCTTGCCTGGCCTGTGCAATCCCGGTACCAAAAAAAAAAAAAAAAAAAAAAATCCAAAGGCTAGAAAGCTTTCTTTACCCACTCAGGCTTGCAGTGCCCTAAGGTCCTTGTTCTTTGGGGTTTTCTCATGGTCTTAGCCAGTCAGGAAAACCACACAACACTTGGGGTACTTAGGATGGAGGTATTTAATATAGGGGATTGGTAAGGACAATGTTGGAAGAGTCTTGAGAGGCAAAGGGGAAGGCTGCAGTACTATTAGAGACATTGTCACAGTTGGTTCTTGATGCTCAAAAGATGTCCTGCCTCAATCCTGGATGCTGAAATGCAGAACCCCTGTCACCTCTGTGGCTATTACAGCAGCTGCCACTGTCAGAATGAGGACTGAGATGCTCTTCCCTGTTTCCCAAGAGATTTTCTTTACTGGTTGAGCTAATAGCAAGAGAGTCTAAAGAATATGATCCACTGGTCTCCAGCCCTTGCAGAGCATGGAGCCTAGAAAGGGGGTTGACTGCTAGAAAGGAGCCTGGTAAATGACTAGCACTGGCTCCTCTAAGGGGCAGGTGTGGCAGCTGGTTGGAATCAGGAGCATGGGGACCAGTTCTACAAAGGACATAACTGTTACCCAGGATCAGAGTAATATTTAGACAAAACAGCTGCACTTGAGATGTGGGAAAGCAGGGCTTTGAGGTCTTCTGCCTTCTACCTCTTGTCCCCAGGAAGCTCGAGCAGTCCTGACCTTTGCTCTAGACAGTGTGGAACAGAAGCTGCTGATGTCCACCACCAAGGGGCTCTACTCTGATGCCGAGGTACCAGCATGGGGTGGGGTGAAAGCCGGGGGGTAGGGGCTTCAATGTTTGTAACCATGGAAACCTTGGTGGAAATTTGGAGGGAAGCCCAATGTGTGAGATAGGAAAAAAGGTGGAACATGGTTTGAAAGTGGGAGGCAGAGCTTCTGAGGGCCCTCAGCTTTAAGCTCAGAGGGCAGGGTCTCTAAGGTACTGAACTTGGAACTATGGGGCGAGATGGTTGCATTTCCAACCTGGCCCTTCCTACAGACCTAGGAACATGTGGCAGTAAAGATTGGAGGTCTCTGACACCTTGGCTCCAAATCCCAAGGTCTGACCAGCTCATTGAGCTCTGAGGAGCTGTGGCTCCGCAAGGTTGGGGTATCTTCCAGGGTGTCTGAATGCTGCTCCCATTGGTCTCAGGTCTGGTTGCTGCCAGCCTCAGATCCCTGAAGCTTCTTCCTCCTGCTCCCCACTAAGAAAGCTTATAAAGTGGGAGAGAAGTGCACTAGAGATAATCCCCTCCCCACCTGCCTTGCCTGGGGTGGGAAGGGGAGTGGTCGGCTGGGGGGTAGGGCTTGGAGTCAGTGGGGTCCAGGAACCTCTTGGGCCTGCTGGGCTGCAGATGGGTGTGGGGCGAGGCCCTGGCACTGACTCGCCTCTCCTGCCAGCTCCAGCAGTGCCTGGCTGCTGCCCAGGCTGCCTCACAGCACGTCTTCCGCTTCTACCGGGAATCGCTGCAGAGGCGCTACTCCAAGAGCTGAGGCCAGCCGCGCAGGGCGCCCCTCCCACCGCCACCATCTTCAGGCTGGACAAAGCCAGTGCCCAGCCTGCCCTCTCTGTCCAGGGTGCCTGTGTGGCCTTTGGCACCACAGCTGCAGGACTTCTATTGGGAGGGGCTTGGCCCCTGACAGCCGGCCTAGGTTATAGACCCCTCCTCCCAAGGACGGCATTAAAGGAGTCCCCCGTGTTGATGAATGAGTCGGTATCCACTCAGTGTCCAGCTAAACACCTACTGCGTCAAGCCCTGCTGGGTACTGAGAACCTGGCAGTGAACCACAGACTCTGGGCCTGTGTTCTAGAAGCAGTGGGGTGAGGAAACAAAAAAATTGCTGGTAAATGTGACAAAAACAAGAAGTAAGGAATGAGACTTTGGGAGAGTCATTTGGGGAGAGGCAGATGTAATACATGAATGGAGACACCAAGCAGGGCACCCCTGAGGGGAGCCCTGCAGGAAAAAAGGGAACAAGTTCTTGTGTAACAGGAGAGAGTGCCCCAGGGACCAAGGACCAGCCAGGCAGCCAGTGTGATGCGTGGAATGAGAAGGGCAGGAAAGGGAGACAACATGAACGGGGGACCCTGCGGGACCTCGTGAGCCACAGGAGGAATCTGGCCAAGTGCTGCTTTAACCCACCAGCAACCCCATGAGGTGGGGCTCATTTGGAGATGAGGAAATAAGCTCAGAAGCCAGTTAGCTGCCGAGGTCACCAGCTAGTCTGCAGAGGAACCAGCATCCCCCCACCCCAGTCCAGTCGCAGAGCCCTTCCTGCAGGCTGGGTATCACCCCTCTGCAAATAGCAGTTGAGGCTCACGGTGCTCAGTCAGGGGTGGCACCCGAGGTTTTTGGAGGTCATGGGCATCCTTGCTTTTTGACTGCTCCCCAGCAGTATTTAGTGTTTGCAGGGAGCTTAAGAGCAACTAGGCCCCATGGGCTGGGTCAACAAACCCCTGGGGTAGGGGGTTTTGTGAGTCTTGACCCTCTACTATTTGCTTCACATGCTTGAATTAGCTCACAGAATCCCCACTTGCCCCCCTGGAGCGTCTTTATCCTCCTGTAACCAGGAAGGAAATGCACAGATATCTTTAGCTTGAAATTGTGCTCTGTTAGATGCTCTGGGAAAGCTGTTTTCTAGCAAAATCTATCACTGGCATTAAATAGCGAGAAGGCTTAAGCTGTAGGGTGTTTTTTTATTACTTGATACCAGGCCCAATTGGTGCGCGCTCCCTTTGCTTCTGCTAAGCGCTGTGCAGACAGCTGTCCTGCTTGCCTGGTGCCAGCACTTTCATGTTTTTTCTTTGAGTCCTTATGTGTGTGTGGTAGCAGGGATTGAGCTCAGGGTGCTTAACCACTGAGCCACATCCCCAGCCCTTTTTTGTATTTTACTTAGAGACAGGGTCTTGCTAAATTGCTGAGCCTGGCTTTGAGCTCATAATCTTCCTGCCTTAGTTTTCTGAGCTGCTGGGATTAGAGGTGTGCACCTTTACACCTGGCTAGAGTCCCATCCTTCCCAAGCCTAGTCCCTTTGATTTGGAAGGACCTGGGAAAGGAGTCTTGAGCTGCTAGGGAAGTTTTCTCTCCCCGTGGTGGGGGCTGGCATAGAATGAAATGGACGAGGAACATAGAGAGTGCAGATACCAGACCCTTAATTGAGCCCAGGACCAGTTATACTTCAGCGTTCTCACTTCTGTTGCCTAGGCAGGCTGTGATGATTCTGCCACTCGGGTGTCAGAAGAGTGCAGAGGGAGAGAGCCGGTGGCCATTTCTATGAGGGATGTATGTAGGCTTGATGTGTAGAGAAAATCATTTTACAGATGAGAGGAAGTGAGGCTGGAAGAGATGTCCCTTGGGCCGAGTCGCTTGGCTGCCGGGTGGGGAACTGAGGACTTGGGACCTGGCTCAATCCTCTACTAACCACTGAACATATACAGTGTGAGGACCCTGCACCCCATGTCACCTGCCTGGTCCTTCCTGGTCTCCGACACCACCACCGTGTCCACCTCCCCGTACACATGACAGACTCGAGTTTGGCTGCAAGGGTGTCTTTAATTTCTCATGCTGCTGCCTGGTGAGAGGTGGCCAGGAAGGGGAGGGGGTCTCCAGCTCACTCCCCTTTCTGGATGCTGCTGCCTCCGTTTTCAGCACCAGGAATCTCCATGTCCTGCCCACAGATGCACTGGGCCACCAGCCTCTGGGGTCACAGTGGGGGGCAACTAGGGTGGGGCTCGAGAGGCAAGATAGGCAGCCAGCGTCACCAGCGCAGCTGCATATGTGCACAGGCCCAGTCCGATGGCGAGGACCCCCAGCAGGAAGGCGCGGCGGGAGGCAGCCCCTGCTCCCTGGACGTCCCCCTCGGCCCAAGCCTTGTTGGTCTGTAGAGGCAGTGGCCACTGTGACAAAGGTGTCCCTCATCCCTCTCTACTTCCCACAGCCCTTCCTCCACCCAGTAAACCATTCATTCATGCATTCCAATGCCTCCGAGCACCTACTGTGAATCAGGCACAGCTGGCCAATGGGAACACTGCGTGACTGATAAAAGTATGTTACTATATGCCTTGATTCTCACAGTGACCCCAAAGCAGGAATTATTCCCATTTTATAGAGAAAAACAAGGAGGCACAGGGAGTTCAGTGGCGTGCCCCAGAAGGTAGACTCAGGGGATCCTTCTCCCATCTCCCTGCTGCCTTCGGCCATGGCTCCTCTTGCTTACACCGTGTGAATGTTCCCTTAAGCCCAGTACCCTCCCTGTCCCACGCAGACTGACCTTCTGGGCCAGACAGAAGGAAGCGATGCCCAGGGGCCAGAAACAGCACAGCATGGAGAAGACTGCCAGGCCAAGGTGGTCAGCGGGCAGAAGGGGGGAGAGGGGGCTGCCCACATCCCAGTCTGAGTCGCTGTCACTGGATGATGTATCCTGTGGACAGGAGAGAGCCTTGGGTGGGCATCTCCACCCACCTTCCCTGCCCACTGCTCTGCCTTGAGGCACCACTGAAGACTCCTATAGTACCTCCCCAGAGGCATGAAAGTTGCTCACAGAGGTGGGCTCTGGGCTCCTCTGTCCTGGATCCCTTAGAGGAGAAGCTGTGGGTCCTGTTCAGAAAGAGCCCCACCTGCACATCATTTTCTAGAGATTGACAGGTCCAGTCATGGGTCATAAAACAGAATGCTACAGCCTCTGAGTTAAAAGTGCCTGAAGTGAAGACAGACATCAGGAACTTGCAAAAAGATGGGAAATTATAAAATGTTCCAGTGTCCTAAATAATTAGGAGACTGCCTGCTGAAAACTTCAATTTCTGGATGGAAAGTATATTATAGGAAGAATCTTAAAAATAACCAGGTGTGGTGGCACACACCTGTAATCTCAGCTCTTCAGGAAGTTGAGGCAGGAGGATCACAAGTTCAGAGTTAGCCTGGGCAACTTAGTGAGGTCCCATCAATAAAAATCTGGGAATGTAGCTCGGTAGCAGAGCAGGTGTGGAGCATGCACAAGGCCTACACCATCACATCAAAAACTGAAGCAGCAGAGCGCTCACAAGATTTAAGGAATTAAGGACAAGACTTAATCAAGGTTAATTTGGTTACACAAACACAGGAGGCCCCTCTTGCCCTGCAGATAAATTTGCCACTCTCAGAAAATTCAAACCTTGAACAAATAAGATTACAAATGGTCTCTGCATCAGTGCATCCAGGCAGCTGAATACCACTCCATGTGCTTTCTGGAAGAAGATACCTTCTAGGCCTAAAAATAAGTTTTCCTAAACRGGGTGCAGTGGTGCACACCTGCAATCCCAGCAGCTGGGAAGTCTGAAGCAGGAGGATCGTGAATTCAAAACCAGGCTCCGCAACTTAGCAAGGCCCTGACTCAAAAAGAGCTGGGGATGTGGCTTCCACAACCAAAAAATAATAATAATACTTGTTCCTAAAAATGATTTTTCAAAGACAATGACAAGCATAGAGCCGCAGATAACAGAATGTGAACTAGCAAAATTGATAAGGTGCTCAAAATCTTCAGCTAAAGTGATGCTATATGTGGCAGGTGGCATTTTCCAAAAATGGTCACAACAAACTTCCATTCCTTGTCTTCCCCCCAACCCAGTACTGGGGATTGAAGCCCAGGAGCGCACTACCATGAAAAAACTTGAGTCACACCCTGCCCCAGCCTATTTGTTTGTTTATTTTGAGGGGGGGGGGTCTAAGTTGCTTAGGCCTCACTAAATAACAGGCTGGCCTGGAACCTGCAATCCTCCTGCCTCAGCCTCCTGATTCACTGGATTACAGGTTTACACCACCATGCCCACCTCATCTGCTCTTCTTAAAGTGTGACTTCAGTATTCCTCCCATCAAGGAATGAGGTCTGGGTCCCCTCCACCATGAACCTAGGCAGGTTCACGACTTACTTGTCATCAAAAGAATGTGGTAAAGTAATGCTACACGACTTCCTCTGCTAAGTTAGATGGGAAAAGTTGGTCTGATGGCCCCAAAGCTGCCGGAGACAATGCACGGAATACCCCAAGACCACAGGAAGGGACAGGCCCCGGACAGCACCAGGTCTAGCTCCAGCCACTGGCTGCAAGTTCATGGAAGACCCCAAGGCAGAGCCTCCACCTGAGTCCTTCCCAGATTCCTGAGCCCAGCAACCATGAACAGATGAGGATTTATAGTGATATAAACATCTGTTTTACATTTTGAGTAATTTCTTAGATTAATTGGAAAACCATTAAAAAATAAAAGACAAGTTTGACAGTATGTACAGCAATGAGAAATAATAAAAAAGTAACATGAATTTGACAAAAGGGTCACACAGTCCAGAGGTATATGGGTTTTGAAGAGAGGCAGACAGAGTTGCACATGCCTGTAATCCCAGAGACTCGGGACTGAGGCAGGAGGAGCATAAATTTGAGGTCAGCCTCAGCCATACAGCAAGGCCCAAGCAGCTTAGTGAGACCCTGTCTCAAAAAAAATAAAAAGGGCTGGGGATGTGGCTCAGTTGTCAAGCACCCTTGGGTTCAATCCCCAGTTCCCTACCCCCACCCCCCAAAAAGAGAAGCAGCTAGAGCACAGAGGAGTCAGAAATCAGAAGGAAAACAAAAAGGCAAAGACCAGGGAAGAAAGAGGAGGGATGAATCTGGAACAAAACCAATAAAGAAACTAGAAGTGCACATGGTAGTGCACGCCTGTAATTCCAGCTACTTGGGAGGCCAAGACAGGAGGATTGCAGGTTGGAGGCCAACCTTGGCAATTTAGGGAGAGTCTGTCTCAAAAAATAAAAAGGACTGGATGTGTAGCTCAATGTTAGAGTGCTTGCCTAGAACCCTCGAGGCCCTAGGTTCAATCCCCAGTGCTGCCAAAAAAAAAAAAAGAATAAAATTGGGAGAGACAGAACAGGAAGAACACTAACTAGAAATCCCAGCAGCCCACCCACAGTTGGGAAGTGAGACTTCAGCCACTGGCCTGCCAAATATTGACTGCAGCTGGCTTCACCCCCAGCCCGGTCCCCTGGCCCTCACCAAGATCTGCTGCTCCTACCTCAAGGACAGGGGGCCCTGGCTCTCCTAGGCCTCCACTCACAGAGGGAAGAGGTGGTGGTGGGAACTGCCAACCTCTTAGGGACTCTGCAAAGGCTGTTTCTCTTGATGGGGGCACTAGCTCAGGTTTGACAGGCTCCCGGGCAGGGGGCTGACAGGCTGTGCCTGCCAGCAGAGGCTGTTGAAGATCCCGAAGACTAGGGCTGTCCATGGTTGGAGAAGTCTCTGGCAAAGGACTCCTGGGGGCAGAGGGAAGACAACACAAGTGGTAAAAAGACTTACATTCCGGGCTGTGGCTGAGGCTCGCTGGAAGAGCACTTGCCTAGCAAGTGTGAGGCACAGGTTCGAGCCTCAGCACCACATGTAAATAAATGAATAAAATAAAATAAAGTTCCATCAACAACTAAAAAGAAAGACTTACCTTCCTCCCCGCCTCCCAACCCTGGACTTTGTTGATACTCAGGCAGAGATGAATTACAGATCCATTTTACAGATCTGTAATTCAGGCGCAGAGAGCAAAAGAGGTTGGCCCAAGTTATAAAGAGAAGCCAGGGGTTTGGACATTCGATTCTGGGCTTCTTCTTCAGGCAAAACACATACCTGTTGCACACTTATTCCAAACCATGCCTGACTTGCCCATGAACTCTCCCCCATCCCCTAATTCAGGCTCACCTCTCCTCACCACCCACGCAGGCCCACACATCCTTCCTAAGTACACACACCCATCCCCCACCACCAGTGGCCCCTGACTTCACCCTAGCACCGTCCCCTCCTGCACATTCCCAGGACTGCACACTTCTGAGTTCCCAAGGCCCCAGCAACACAGCCCCATCCAAGCAATCCCACCCCTCCCCTGCAGGTGATCTGTCAAAGGATTCCTTGCGCAAACATCAGCTCCCCAAAACCCCTCCCAGGCTTGCAACCTTCTTACACATTTAGCCCAAGAGACTGCTTGCACACTCCTAATCCCCATAGCATCAGAAACCACACACGCACCTCCACACGCACAGGCTTCCCACACACGCACACCCACATTTTCCCTGCTCTCTTCTTTTGCACACCTGCCCTAAACATTCATGCCCCCCCCGCCCAACTCCACCCGCACCCAAGACCCAAAAAAACTCTCCATACACCTTCCAGTTCTCCAAACGGCTCCCGGTTTACCCCAGTCCTCCCTGGTACGCCTCGCCCCATAATTCCCCCAACCCCAGCTCACATGTATGTATCACACTCAACACAACCACAAAGAAGATTTCTTCTTGCCCTATGATCTCCCTGGGGGAGGCYCAAGCCTCCGCCTGCTCACTCCAAACCTCTATAAGCCGATGCCACATCTTTGCCTCCAGCTCTCCAACGCCAGGACCCTCGGGGAGGACGGTGCCCGCTCCCTCCCTCCCTCCCCGCCACAGTCAGAAGCCCCCACCTCCTGAGCCCCCCGCACCGACACATGCTCTGACCTGCTGCCTGCAAGGTGCGCTAACCCAGCGATGTTCGGACCCAGCCAGGGCTCCGGGTCTGCGCTCCGGGCTGGGCTGAGTCCCCAGCGCACCAGCCCCGCAGCTCGCGGGGGCGGGGCGGGGGCTCCAGGCTCCGCCCCTCCGCGGAGGCCGGGGGAGAGGGCCTTGAATGCTGATGTCAGCCACTGGCTGGTACCTGGGAAGGCAGGGGTGTAAGAAAGAGCAGCCCCTCCTCCCCTCACCCAAGCTCTAGCGCTGCAGGTAGGAGGAAGGGGCGCCCCGGATTCTCCAGGGCCTTCCTGGCTTGCCCCCCCCACACACCACCACAACCCCCGTTGCCCAATAATAACAAATAATGATAACAGCTACAGTGCGTGCCCTAGGTGCCCACTAAGTGTCTTACATATGCACTTTCACAGTTATTCCTCAGAACACCCCAGAGAGGCACTATCGTTTATTGCCTTGCTTTACAGGGCAGGAAAGAGGCACAGAGATGTTAGGTAACTTGCCTAAGAGCACACAGCTAATTCATCAAGTGCAGATGATGCCCCAAGCCCTGTGTTCAGTGTTCGACATTACATCATCCCATTCATTCTCGCAGTAGCTGGGTTTTCATTCCTATTTCACAGATGAAGAAAGTGAGGCCCAGAGATGCCAAGGTAAACAACTGGTCCAGAAACAGCAGATCATAATGCAGGACTGAGTTCCTTGCTGATCCCAGAGGAGGGGAGGAAGCAGAGGCCGAAGGCAGCCAGAGGGGGAGCTTCCAGGGAAAGGAGGCCAAGAAGTGGGACCGAGGGTGGAGCACTGCGCTGCTTTTCAAGTGACGCAGGTGATGTTCATGAGTCAGAGTTTGGGTCCACACAGAGCTGGTTCTTTGCCAGGCTCTTCAGGGCACTTGTGGTGTGACCTGTGGACAATGACTTTACCTCTCTGAACCCCAATTTTTTCATTTGAAAATTAGGGAAATACTCCCTGCCTCTTAGACATAACATACATAAAGTGGTTAGATTAGGAGTAATAACAAATATCCAGTATTTACCCAAATCCTAAGTATGTCCTCTGAACATGTCTGATGTGCCATTAATGTTAGTATTTCCATCCTTCCCATCTGTCTGATTGGAGGGCTTTCCCCCACCTGCAAGCCTCCACCTCCTTCAGGGAGCCCACCCAGCTTGCACTGGCCTTCCATTTCCAGAAGCCCTTCATCTGGCCAGACAGAAGGATTCCCCAGCCTGATGTGGGGCCATCCGGAGTTCCCTCGCCCCAGAGCTCCGGGGCACCATGCCAAGAGTCCAGACGCTGGAGCTGGCACAGGCCCCAGTCCTGGGGAGAACAGATGGTGTCTGCTAGTGCACTTGGCTCAGCCAGAATTTCTGGCAGATGACAGAGACAGGGAGAGGGTGAGGGGGCAGAGTGTTTTACCCAGGAGGGATACCCCGTCACTATCTCYTTAACCTTGCTCCAGTTGTCTTCTGTGACAATGAAACACAGATCTCTTGTTTGTCTCTCTTCTGAATCCTCCCAGCAGCATCAGCTCTGCCAAGCCTGGGATTGGAGCGCTTTTGTTCACCGCTGTGCCTCGGGGCCTAAAGCAGTGCTTAGTACATATTTGTGGCATGAATTCCTAGCAGCCTCAGTTTTTCACCAAATTGCTGAGCTCTGTGGGTCCCCATCCTCCTTGGCATGAGTTCTCATCTTGCTAGAGTCCTCTGGCCATCATCAGCCTTGAACAGTCTTCCCAGCCCATCCCTTTTAGGGGCTGGGGGAGGCCCCAGCTTACAGTCTGTGATGGGTTTGATATGTTGAACGTGAGCTCCCAGCAAGGATCCCCAAAGGAGGCCTTACTCCATCCAGTGAAAGTCGGAAGAGAAATAGGATGTTATTTAGTCTCAAAGAGTCCTCCTCCCACACTTACTCATGAGTCACAGGGAAAACTACAGTGTTATGGAGAAAACTAGCAGACATGCCCCAAACCAGATGGGTTAAATGGTTTGAATCGGGAATGTCTCCCAAAGGCTCACATGAGGAAGGAAGCCTTGATCCCCAAAGCAGCCATGTTCAGAGGTGAGGTTTTCGGGAAATGATTGGATCACGGGGCTCTGAACCCATCAGTGGATTAACAATTTGAAGGCATTTGGGGAGGTGGTGGAAACTCTAGGAGGTGGGACCTAATTGAAGGAGTGGGTCTTTGCCTTCTGGCTTCCATGGGATAAAGCTTTCTTCCAGTTGTCCTTCTGTCCTTCTGCCATGCTGCTGTATCTCACCTCAGGCCCAAAGCAATGGAGCTGCTGCCCATGGATGGAGACCTCTGAAACTATGAGCCAAAATAAATCTTCCCTACTTTTAAATTGCTTTTGTCAGGTATTTTGGTCACAGTGACAAAAAACTGACTAATACAAGGTGAAATTAGTTAACCTCACCAGCAAAAGGACAAATCATCATGTGCTACCTGCCATGCACTGAGGAGGACACAATGCTTCTGTGGTTTTCCTATTTAAAAAAAAAAAGAAAAGCATTACCAGGGATAGGAATATAGCTCAGTTGGCAGAGTGTTTGCCTCGCATGCACAAGGCCTTGGGTTCAATCCCCAGCACAAAAAAAAAAAAAAAGAAAAGAAAAGAAAAAAGAAAAAAATGCATTATCCAAATTATTAAAAAATGAGACAAAGGCTGAGGATACAGCTCAGTTGGTAGAGTGCTTGCCTTGCATGCAGAAGACCCTGGGTTCAATCCCCAGCACCACCAAAAAGAAAAAAAGAAAAAAGTGAAGACCCTACTTGGGGGCTGGGTTGTGGCTCAGTGGTAGAGCGCTTGCCTAGCATGAGTGAGGCACTGGGTTCAATCCTTGGCATCACATAAAAATAAGCAAATAAAATAAAGGTATTATGTCCATTTACAACTAAAAAAATTTTAAATAAAAAAAGAATGAGGGTTGGGTGTTGAGGCTCACGCCTGTAATCCCAGCAGCTCAGGAGGCTGAGGCAGGAAAATGGCAAGTTCAAAGCCAGCCTCAGCAACTCAGTGAGACCCTGTCTCTAAATAAAATATAAAAAAGGGGTAGGGATGTGGCTCTTGATTAAGTGCACCTGAGTTCAATCCTTGGTACCAAAAGAAAAGAAAAGAATAAAGTCTGAGGATGTGGCTTGGTGGTAGTGATAGCCTAGCTTGCCCAAGGCCCTGGGTTCAATTCCCAGCATGGGAAAAAAAAAAAAAAGACAAATAGTGTGTGTGTGTGTGTGTGTGTGTGTGTGTGTGTATAGAAAAGCAGGCAAAGCCTGAACATAAACTTCACAAAAAAGGAAATCCAAGGGAATAATGAACATATTTAAGTTGCTGACCATGGCTTTGAACCCGTGATCCTCCTGCCTCAACCTCCCGAGTTGCTCAGATTTCAGGCATACACCACCACATTTAAAACAAACAAACAAACAAACAAAAACCACTCAACTAATCCATTACCTTGGGGTTAGGAGAAAAAGGGGATGCTGGGGATGTGGCTCAGTGATAGAACAAAAACAAATAAACCAAACCTAATTCAACCAGTCATCTGGGAAATGCTAATTAAAATCACATGTGATACCAGTACACAGCCACCAGAACTGCTAAAAGGAACACTAGAGTATGTGCAGGAGGGAACTTCCACCAGGAGTGCAAATTGGTTCAACTACCTGGACAACAGGTTGGTAGTGTCTGCTACAGGTGAACATAGCACATGACCCAGCAATGGACCCAGCTGGATAGGACATATATCTACCAAAGGACAAACTCCCACCAACAGGAT